ATTTGTATATATGATAGAAGCGATGTTTCAATATGTGGTCGTAAACGGCATAGAATTGATGGGAATGAAAAAATTGGGTGTAAACGTCAATTAAAAGATGTAAACGGCATTCAAGGAAACTTGATATGACGTAAGCTTCATTGTTGACGGTTACATCAATTTATCATTTTGGTAGAGGTTTTGTCAGCACTGTAAAAAGCATTAAGGGGCATGATAATACAAATATGAACGTTCGGTTCGTGACCAACTAGTCCGTGATTTTAACAGAACAGTAAAACTGATAGGTACCAGAAACAGTCAAACATCTCAAACACGAAATCGAAATTGATTTAATTATTATTATAATTATAAATTAATTATTTTCACATAATAATGATTTTAAATCTTAAGTTTATATTTACAATTTTCGAAATACTTTTACTACAAATCTTCATTGAATTTAATCAATAATATAAAACAACTAACAATATTAAACTATGGAAACCATTATAGTCAATTGAACATTTTTGGGGTGTAAGAGCCAGGATCAGAAAAAAAGTGGCGTAAGAGTCATTTTTTTTTTTAAATTGGCTTTAAATACACAAATATATTATGATTATGAACAATTAATCAATACAAAATAAGTAAAAACGCATTATAAATCATATTAAGTCTCAAATCGAAGTGTTATACGATGTTCTAACTTCTTAGGTTAGGTTACACAATTAATATGAAAATATCTGTTTTTCGGCTTTCCTGAACAATTTGGAAATTGGCGTTTACGCCCTTTTACCTTCTAACCATCGATTATATACTCATGTATTATATTAAATTGTTATTATTGTGGTGAGCCATCAGCACAATACTCCCTCTCTACGGCGGTTGGCGACACCAACCAGCTTCCGACATGTACCTACCTACTTTCATTTAATTTGGTTGATACCTACATAATTATTTAATTGTTTTATGTTATAGTATTTCGGAAAAATAGATTTATCTAGATCGAAACAAAGGATTGTACTTTCCTTTTATTTCTTCTGTTGACAAAACAAGTGATGACATTATATCTACCGTCAATAATTTGAATTCTGATCGCAACTATGTCAAGTGTTGAAGTAAACAAGACTACAAATTGGTTCGGAGATAGTTATTCATTGAACATTTAGATAATATTGAATCATATAAGTTGAATGGAGAGCCCATGAATAAACGTTTAAAATTAATTATTTTAATATTAAATAGTACAATATTTTTTCGTATAAACGATTTCTTTAGGAAACTATTGATGAGATATATTCATATTTAATGACCTAAGAAAAGAGCCGTATTACCAGGAGGATATACAACACATTTTATTTATCATGATTTTTTTTTTATAAACCAAAGTTTGATGATGGTGAAATAAAATATGAAAAACAATTAGTGTTTAAAAGTATGCTGGAAATATGAGAATATGTTTACCAACTTACTATTGAAATTGAAAAAATAAGTAAGACTTTACAATATTTATTTAACTCTAATCTGTGTCTAGCAGTTAAATTACTTGATTTAAAAACAATGTGTGTGTAGGTGGTCCAAGATCAATAGATTTTCCAGGTAAACATTATTCCTATTCACATTTCCTATGAAATATAAATATAAATGCCTGGATATTTTTTTGATTAAATGATATTCAGGAGTTCGGATAAAAACTGCAACCTTGGAAAATAATCAATTGTAGCGTCACCAAAAAATGTATAATTTTTATATTTTATATCCTCCACTGGTACCCACCCATAGCGAGTCTCATACGCCCCTATAATATTTTTAAATTACAAAAAAATAACTAAAATCGCGGTATGGCCAAATATTTAGTCAACTGATGGCGTTGTAAACAGTTAACTCTCAAAAAATAATTGCGACCCGTGTCCAGTTGTGTCCAGTCACACACTTCTATACTACACTAAATAAGAGGAGCTCCTATACAATTTATATTGTTACAAGTGAAGCTCAGCTGTGGACGGCCGCCATTTTGTCGGTTGGCAAAACATTTCATTTATTATACAAAACGTATTAGGACTAATATTTTTTTTAATGGTCAAATAAAATAGTAAATGTAAAATGTCTTATATAAAATTATATATACATTAAATATATAAAATTTTTATTTTTTTTAAACAGCATGTTTAGAAATAATAAAATACGATACAAAATAAATCATAATATCATCTTATTTGTCATATGAAATACCATACAATTGCCAACCGACATTGAAGTTTCATGTCATGGCGGGAGTTCGCTATCTAGTACTACATAGAAATCTGTGTGTCCAGTCCATTATAATTATTATTATCTTTACATCTTTATATTTTATACACGATTAAAGACATACAGGTTACACATCGCCTTATAATAAACGGCATTCAGATTGATTTACAAAGTGACTATACATAACAGCTGTTAATAATTTACTATACTGAGGGCGCCGAGAGAGCGCAAGTCGACCGCACAAGTCTCCGCGGTTTCGAGGTCTAATTTCTCGCACCAAGTCGTACGCCGTATGATGAGCGGACTACGACAAGTTTTGGTCGCCGCCGACTTGCGCTCTCTCGGCGCACTCAGTAATCAGTATAGTGGCACTTGATGCCAACACTTAACCATATTATGTGTCGACATTTAGAACTAATTTTACACCTATATAATATCTATAATCGGTTAATTGTAATACTGCCACTTGGAGAGCCATTGGTTAATTATTGGTAGTCAATTCGTATTTCACCTTATCAGTAGTCGATGTGCAACCTGTATATCTTTAATCTTGATTTTATAAGAATGGGATAACTAATTAATATCAGTGCCACCAATCGATCTGGCGAAAATTATTTAATATTAAATAATACTAAAAAAAATCTCTACCGAAAAGTCAAAATACATTTTTATGAGTGTTTTGAATTTTTATGAATGCTTGAAAATTGAATACAAGGCTCCACTCACATGTATACTATATCAGCTTAAAAATATTAAAAATACATAGGCAAGATTTTTTTTTATAATCTTTTAAAGTTCAAATTCTGACATAATATTTGATTAAATTGAAAATTATAATTAATTTGTTGTTTTAAATTTATAAACGGTTCTACTTTTATAGTGAAGGATTGGACTTTAAAACAAGGTTTCACGTAAATAGTTAATTCTGTAACCAACAAATATACATAGGTAAACACTGTTTTTTTAGTTATTTTAATTTTTAAGTTAAAATTTGGGCGAAACTAGATATTTAAACGATAAAGAACGATTTAAGTTTTGTGCTAAAATTTAAAAATATTATTCGTGGGTATTTGAAACTTCTAAATTATATTATTATATACAAATATAATAATAAACAAATAATTATAATTCAACTTAACCGGCTACCGTATTAAAAATAATAATATAAATATAATGTAAAATATCCCAGACTGGCAAACCGTCTCCGCTCAGAATCATTTTTCGTATACAATGATATTCAAATTTAACTCCATCCATTACAGTCACTCACTTGTAACCTGCTGTACAGCAGAGCGACACTCAATTACCCTCTTGTTTTCTTATTATTATTGTTGATCTTAAGCTGTATCGGTAACTATGACCATTAGAATTTTTTAGGGGAGTTACAGTTGGTTGAGGAACACGTGGATGTGAAGTATTCGTCACTAAAAACCCGGATGGGCACCCATCCGGGACCTAGTGACGCCAACCGATGATAGAACTCAGATAATGTTAGTGACTGAGGCCAACCACCAAGCCACACCAGGCTTTTCAATATATTATGTATTACATGTATATTTATGAATTATACATTTTTTATTAATATTTTAAATTGTAATAAATATATTAACACTTCATGTGAGACATTCGTGATTTCACAATAGTATTCTAAAAAAATATTTATTTATTTTTTATCAGTTTTAATATTATCTCCTTCATTATATTTTTTTACTATTTGAAAACTTACAATCTTGAATCTATATTAACAATAGCACAATAAGACGTAAATATGATGATAATATGTTCACAGTTTCACACTACCTATATATATCAGTAGATTAAAAATTTGAAGAGAGATACAATTCTTCTAAAAAAAATTCTTCTGTGCAATATAGATCAAAGAATTAAAACATTTCTTAAGATCCATACATGAAAGATTTAACATCTATATATTGATACACAATGCAAACATAGGCGTGCGCACGGGGCGAGCCGGTCAAGCCCAGGCTCGACCTGAAACTTTTTAGGGGCATAGTAAAATGTGCGTATATATTTAAATATTTTATTATAATGCTTATATTATAATAATATGTTCGTGGAGATCATGAAAATTTTGTTTGTCGTGAAAGTATAAAAAAATCAAAAATATTTGTGTGTACCTACCTAACCTAACCATTACATACATTTTATTAATCTAAAAAAATACAGTATACCTTTATAGGTACAAATACAATAACTATAGTACTATAGACATTAATAGGTTAATATATTATCAACATGTATGTTGGTGTGTTAAAAAAAAAATTAGGGGCGCAGTCCAAACATTAGGGCACTATAATTGTCTAGGCTCGACCAGAAATTTAAGTCTGCGCACGCCTATGAATGCAAATAAGTTTTAATTTTATAGTATAATTATTGAGATACAATGGTTTAAAATAGTAAATAAGTTGCAATTTAACTGTGAAATATTTTTTGTTTGCAAATTACAATAATTATAATTAAATTATGTAAGTACCAAGGTATGCGTCATGTAAACATAAAATGTATTTCATTATTTAATTTCCCATGGTATTTTTTATCTAAAATAGGGACATTGATTTAATAAATTAAACCATGATGAATACGTTCTAATAAATCAAGAGCAAACATGTTTTAGCATATTAACACAGCCTGTGAATCATAAAGTAAACTAAACTTTATTAAATTATAATAATGTACCTACTGTTAAATAAAATATATAGCCATTTGTTATATTATACAGATGTTCAAAACAATAATCAGTTGTAGTTAAAAACATGTGTATGGTACTGAAAACTTTTAAGTTGTCTAAGAATCCTCTGGTACAGTTATTGTATTTAATACTCATTGTTACTACCGTTAGCAACCAAGCTGATGAAGAATCTGCCGGTCCAATTCGAGTACAGACTGATGAAAACATTAATAATGTAGCTAAAGGCACAGATCCTATTTCATCAAGTGTGGATAAAGGATCAACAATTAATGGCGAAGATCCGAAACTGGATGATGAAGACGACCCATTTCGTACTATGACGCTAGACTTACCTGAATCAACAACTCCTGAAGACCTTAAACCAAAAGGATCAACAATTAATGGAAAAGATCCGAAACTGGATGATGAAGACGACCCCTTTAGTACTATGACTCTAGACTTACCTGAATCAACAACTTCTGAAGACCTTAAACCAGAAGAAACGGAATTAGAAGCAAGAAATGATCAGAATATCAAAGGCGCAGATCCTATTCCATCAAATGTGGAGAAAGGATCAACAACTAATATTGGAATGATAGAACAAAATAAAAACATGATTAAAGGATTTCTTTCAGGGTTGAATGCTAGAAATAGCATAAATCAGCCTAATAAAAATGAAATAAATGATATTAAAAATAACATAGATGTTACAGATGATAAGATTGAAGATGAGAAACTGGTTGTTGAAGACGACTCAACAACTCCTGGAGACCTAAAGCCAGAAGAAAAGGAATTAGAAGCACAAAATAATCTGAATATCGAAGGCACAGATCCTATTCCATCAAATGTGGATAAAGGATCAACAATTAATGATGAATCAATGGAACAAAAAAAAAACACGATTAAAGGAATTTTCGACAGGATAAATTCTAGAAATAGCATAAATCAGCCTAATAAAAATGAAATAAATGATATTGACCTTAAAGAAAATAACATAGATGTTACAGATGATAAGATTGAAGATGAGAAACTGGTTGTTGAAGACGACTCAACAACTCCTGGAGACCTTAAACTAGAAGAAAAGGAATTAGAAGCACAAAATAATCTGAATATCGAAGACGGAATAATAAGTTCAAAAAAAAAAAAATCTCAAGGTTCACCACAAGATACCCAAGGTCCACCACAAGATACTCAAGGTTCACCACAAGATAATCAAGCTCCACCACAAGATACTCAAGATACGCCACATCCATTGAAGCCAATTAATCCGGAAGACTTGACACTATCTTCACTCGAGAATGTTAAAATCGTAAAAATTAAACAATTCGATCCAGTCGCAGAAGAATCAAGGAAAAAAAAAAAAAGAAGTAAGATACAAAAGTTGGTTGGACTTAACATTTAAAAAAACTGCTTTGATAAATTATTACATTCAAAAATTGTTATATATGAGAGCTTTATTTATACTGCAGAAGTTAAGATAAATATATATTATATTTTTAACTTACGAATTTTTTAAAAAAAATACCAATTACTTTTCAAAAATAACTTGTTTAAAGTGGCAATAAATACTAATAATATTATATAGTTTGAGTTAAATTACCAATCTATAGAGAAATTGTAGGTACATAGTACTTTTTATTATCACTTGAATATAACTTCAGAACAAAAAAAAACTTGTTGTGTAACCTATTTCTCAAATATTCATTCACTCTGCAGAATCTTTTATCTGATTTAAATTAACTAATTTCTTAAATAATTAAATTAATTAAGATATTCAAACTGAAAAAATATATTATGCACAGTTACACACACAATGTCAATTTACAGCAATTTAACATATTTAAAAAAGGTGGGAACCTATGATTCAGAAACCGAAGTTTGCTTTTTGTGTACTCGTTTTATTTTGTTTACCTTGGCACATGATAGTGATAGTTGTGTATGTTGTTATATCGAAACAAATTTTAAATCATCGCATTTAAATAACAACTTTGAGCGTATCTATTACAACTGAATTGGGTGAAATTTCTTTAAAATGTATTTACCATTGTCAATGGTTCTTTTCTTAATAATATGCTTAGACTGCTAGAGCTGTTATTGATAAAATCACTAAACAATATCTTCGACCAAGTAGGTAAACGAGTAATCCCATGCCATTTTTCAAAGACCAGGACATTATTCATGCTTAAAACAACCTAAAGGTCGCCACACATTGCTGGGTTGGTAGTGAAATTATTTTGTTTTATCGCCATCGTCACCGTCACCACTGCCTACTATTATAGTTTTTAAAATGACGAAAATAAATTGTGTCTGGTTACGATGGTAAACGCTTGATGCTCCACTGCAAGTATAATAATATTATAGGTACGTTATTATAGTTAAATACTCAGTTATTTTCATTATATTCAGAGTTCAGCCCATATTACTGTTCTAAGTTTCAAACGATCAAACGTTCATTGATGTATCTAGAGTTGTCATGCATTCTATATTACCTATACGTACATCATAGACAATATTACACATGTTATATAAATACATACAACTAAAGAAATAAATACTAAATAATACAATATAATATATTTATATGCCAACCAAAATTATGTAATTGGTACATACAAATAGTAGACTGTAATCTTTTTTTATTTTAACATTTAACTTTGTATTCTAGACATATTTAAAGAATTCGCACCTACAGAAGGAAATGCACGCATATATTGTACATTTTTGGGAGATGTATTAAAAATGTACAAAAAAGTAAAAAAACGTTTTATTGGTCACTTTTGTCATGCAATTGTTTTTGGTGCCCCAATAATCTTAAAAAATCATCGGGTACACTTGAGCGAAAACACGAGAAGTATGTACCTAATATATAAGATATAAATTAATAAAATATATTAACTTGAAAAAAGCTTATCATGAAATCAATATTTTAATAATTATTTTTTTATCCATATAGATCAGCTGCTTGGTATACATGAACACAAACAACTAAGTCTTGTTATCGTCATTATGCAATTTTCAAACTATAAATATTGGGTGCACGCGTTACGCAACAACAGAGGCATGAAAAACTTAATCATAGATATAATACATACGGCCGTGCATTATAAAATTGACGGAATACAATTTTCAAACTTACATCCAACAAGGGTATGAATTAATATTTTTGTTTATTATAAATCCTTAAAATTTGATTTAAAATTTATTGTAAATGAAAAATCTGTTAAAAAATGTAACTAATGTGATAAAAGTGATCCGAATTTCAATTTGAAAAATATATACCTCTGTATGTCAAATTTAATATACCTACTGCAGCTCACGCCGAGTAATATAATAATTATATATTATGGCCAATTAATGTATCCGCGTGCGGCGTGCCACACATAAAACCATTGTCGCAGAGGCGCCAGATGAGCTGATCGCACACACACGTTTTCATTATAATCATTATTGGAATCTGTCAATCACTGGAAAAACAATCAAAGTTTTTGAAGTTTATGATACGTATAGAGTAAAATATGAATACTTAGGTAACTTTTGTATTCAAATCGGTCTGAAATTACTAATTAAAATAAAAAAAAAAAAAAACATTTCGAAACATAACATTGACATTGTAATTAATTTTCAGGTCTTTAAAGTAAAACTGAACAGTTAAATAATTTATTATTCATGAAAAAAATATTTATCATAGTAAAAAGCTTTTGAGTTGCAGTATTACAATAATGCAATTTAAATCAATATCTTTAAACGCCGATTTTCTTAGGTTTCTTAATTATACTTAAGAAACACAATGAACAAGTAAAAATAGTAATTATACTTCTCTAAAATACCAACTGTTGTAGATAAACATGACCAATCAAAAAATTATTGTATAAGATCACACCCCACTATTACCATAACGACAGAAAATAATCATAAATAAAAGTAAACACCATTGAAAAACCAATAGCTAGGTACCTAGGTTCATTATTATACGAAAATGAAACTGAACGAAAATCGTCATATATATATACGTAAACCAGTTTACGTTACTGAGATAGGTATTATAAATTTACCTATCACATACACATAACTAGGGCAGAGGACTTGTAGCTCTAAAAAATCACCAAATATGCACTTAAATATAAAATCTATGCATTATAAATATGCATTTTAAAATGAATATTTTTGAACGAAAAATAAAAAATTTTCTGTAGGTACTTATCTATTATTTTAACGAATAAATTGTATTTACAACTTTATTTAACAACTTACACGTTACAATTAATTATTTTAATAATTATTTGGGTTTTCTTATCTGGATACATCTTCAAAACTTTTAACTTTCTACTTCTTCAACTACTAAAAAACAATTGAAAAAAATTTTTTTTTTCAAATATTTAAGATTAACACACATTTTTACATTGGAAGATACATTGAACAATAAGATGTTTTTTAAAATTTTAAAATTTAAAACTTTTTCTATTGTCAGCTAACAGCACTTTGAACATTGAAAAAGAACGTTCAACATCAACGGAATTTATAGGACCATATTTAAAATATTCTAAATCGCCAAGGCTCAAGATTTCAGGTGTTCTGACTATAATTGAAGTTTCTTCACCAGATAAAATTCTTGACATTTGAGCCAATATTAGTTAACTTTTATTTTTCTCTAAAATATTTATGTTCTCTTGAATAATTTTTCCCACTGTACAAGGTGCTTGATTTAATTTTAAAAAACGTCTTCAATTATTTTTATGGTGACTTTTATTTATTGGTGTTCGCAATACTAACATGCGGCTTGTACCCACGATCCCCACCCACCATGTAATTATATGTTCCGGAGAAGGTGAAAGATCATGTACTGATCAAAATTTAGAAAAATTTTAAATTCAACGTTATTTTGGTTGTAAAAATAAATAAATTAAAAGTCGACTAAAAATATTGATAAAATGTTAAAATATTTAAAATATGCATCTAAAAGTATAAAATGAAAGAAATATGCCCTAAAAACCAAAAAATTGCAAAATATGCATTTATATGCACAATAAATTTTAAAAACTAGCTTTGTGGAAGCATGGAACGTATTTGTTTCTCACTCTGCTACTTTTGTGACTGTGCAAAAAAAAATATGCAAATGCTACAAGTCCTCTGCCCTACACATAACTAACTCTCGATAGTTCAAAGTTCAAACCTTCGATAATTCCAAATAATTGCTCGTCCCCTTAAAAATCTCACAGTAATTCGAATAAAAAAGATGCATTTAAGTACATTCGTAGTAAAATTCAAAGGAAAACTAGCTGGAAAACACTCGACAGTTCGAAGTTCCACGCTCTGCAATTCGAAATGTATTTCTTACTATCTTATCGGTAATAATTATTACCTTACATTTGTGTATACATTTAGATTATTATTTCCGATGACTATCGAATTATTATCGTAGGTACGAATTTGTTTTCATAACTCAGTAATTAGAATTGTTTTTGATGTGTTATTAAAGATTACTCGCCCCCCCCCCCAAAAAAAAAAAAAGAATGTGTGTAAAAAATTGATCTAGAGTGAATTGGTAAATTCGATGTCACGAAATAGTGTAACGGAAGTTGCGCAATCGCTCAACTCAGTAGCCCGAGTTGAGTATCCGTGATATACACTGATGTATTAGGTATATCAAATTGTTATTATTGTTATTATTGTGGTATAAATTATAATACTTGTTATTTACTTCACCCATAAGTCAACCTACATTTCATTAACAGGCTCAAGTCGTCGGACTAACTTCTCGCCCAGTAGGAGTTTGTCGGCGCAACAATTATAACCAGGGTTCGGGACTTATAGCACTAAAAAGCACTAAAATATGCGCTTATATATGACCCAATAAACTTAAAAATATGCACTAAAAATGAAAATAATATGCACTAAAAAATTAAAAAAAAAATTAAAAATCATTAACAAAAAAGATTTATTTGATATTATATGTATTAATAAATAGGTATATATAATGTATTAATTTTTTTATATTTAAAAAAATTAAAAAATTAAAAAATAAAAAAATTTGTAATTTAAATCTTAGTGCCTTTGTGATTGCATGAACTATTAGATGTTTTCGAACATTTTCGAACTGGAAGGCTCTTCTATTATCGGCTAGAATACACTTATATGCCGAAAATGAACGTTCCAAGTCGACGGAAGTAATGGGAGCATACTTGAAAAATAACAGATCATTACATGTTAGATCTTCTGCTATTGAACGAAGATCCATAGACTCTCCTCCGGTGATAATATTACATATATTTGTTTGTTAAACCATAACTCAGATAACTACATGGTTTTCGATTTGTTGAGTAGGTATTTATAAATCAAGTGCACGTACTACATTTTTGTGACAGATAGCTACACAAATAGTATTACTACAAAACAAATTTTCGCAATTAATCGTTCAACATTTTAATTAATACATTTTGAACAATTATATTAACCATCAATCATTAAAAATCGTCGAATAAGCAAAAAATATGCAAAAACCTTTAAAATATGCAAAAACCCCCAAAATATGCAAAAATATGCAAAATAAAATTTCATATTTTAATTCTCTGTACTACAAAACGTATTTGTAGATCACTCTGCTATGTTTTACATCACCTATGATGGATATGCAAATGCTATAAGTCCCGAACCCTGATTATAACCATACTTTTTGCATTTTCTTTCCTTCTAGAACATGGCCAAAACTAGCTTAGAAAGGGTGAATGCATATCAACGCACAAAAAATAAGACTAGCCATATGTTGACATTTAGCGTCAGATACAAAATCTGACACACACCATTTTTTTTGCCCTCTTGATACTTTGAACCACTCAGCAATTAGAACTTTCTGTAATTCGACATTTTTCAAAAGTCCCACCAACTTCAAATTATTGAGAATCGACTTTGTTATATTAAAACTCAATAGTCAATACTACTAAATTAGACATTAGTAAAATAAAAAAAAATAGTCATTAATAATATAGTTTGTTTTAAATTGTAACCACTGAGCAGAGTGTGACATATAGGTACATATTGATTTAGGATCATTTTTTATTTAATTTCCATGCAGTTTTTAATAAAATATTAAAGAACAAAAGATTGATATTAAAGGAAATTTCGTTATTTTTTACCATTTACTTATGTAGTATGTAGTATGTACAATACATTATTTTTTTTTTTTAAACTTCCAACCTACTTACAAAGTTAGATAGAATCATAAGAGTATAATATAGGTACTTACCTAATGTTTCATATCATTATTTGGTATATATTAAATAATATAATAAATATTAATAAAATGTACAATAGAGTAGGTGTATAGGTACATCATATTACAAACACTAGACAATTAAAAAAACATTCGAATTGTGTTAAAAAATTATAGAAAACTTTCAAAAAATATTTTATGTATAATGGTTTTTTACAAACAATATATTAATATGTTTTGATTATTGAATTGGTAAACCTTTTGAATCTGTGAATAATTATAGGAAACCGATGAAGTAAATACACACATGATGAATAATCTAATACGATTCTTTGAAAGACTGGAACTTGCTGCAAAAGCAAAGAATCATGATTTAAAAATTGGTATAACTATCGATATGCACGGTCTGTCAATCACAAAAAGTAAATAATAACATACCTACATCAAATATAAAATGTATATAATATTTAACAGTTATTAAAAGCTGATTAATTTCCAGAAAATAGTTGGTTAAATGTATTATATTCATTTAAGTAAAAAGGAATAATAATTCTATTTGAACTCAATTGAAACTCAGTTTGTGATTGTATTTATAATATTTAACACTGAATAATATAATTACAACATTAAAATAAACTAAACTCAAATATTATGGTGAATACTAGGGATGGATGTATAAAATGAATGAATATGTATAATATAATTAATTAACTATTTAGCGTATAGACTATAGGCGCATAGCGAGTTACCTTTTATAATCATTAGTCATTACTCATTAGAAACTAAAAAAGTTCTTAATCACATAAGGCATAAGCTATTTAATTAAATGGATATAATTTTAGTTTTTATCAATATAATTTTGATAAGTAATACCAATCAAACTTAATTTTTAATTTAAACTGAATAATATCACTTAAAATGTATTTATACCTATTGTATTTTACTATTTTTCATGTTATAAAATAAAAACAGGTTTTACTTCATTCAAACATTTAAATTCACTGGTCACTTGGTATTCATTCAAAACGATTTCGATGGTAAAATGTTCATCGGAGTACAAGGCTATAGGCACTTCTCCATTAGAAGGAAACATGGGCTTTGTATGTTTGATTCGTTAATCACGCAAATATTATGTATTTTTTCATAACATGTTTGTTATTTATGGTAACACATATGATTTATTATTTTTGTTTTATTCTTCTATTACAAATATTTTACATTTGTAATGCATGTTTGATTATTAATGCCTAATTTATTTTAATGAACTTTTGATCAAACTTTTAACTACAATTAATATTACTTTAAATAACTAAAATAGTAAAATCTACAAAATTATAGTCAAAGTTTCAAAGTAACATATTTATTTAACATCTTTAATTTCCAAGCAAATACCTTTAAATATAATTATTTAGAAACCTTCTATATTCATAAAACTAAACATAAATAATATACATTATAATTGTATATTAACTATCTATATTTACGATAAATATTATAGTACCTACCTATTTAATTAAGATATAAAAACTAATACAATATTAATAACAAAATCCAATTTTACAATATCAATAGGTATTTTATTCAAATTGTTAATTTACTACAAAATACAATTGTTGTATCAATATTATTTATTTTTTGTTAGAAAAACACAATTAATACATTAATCGAGCAAATTAATAGCAATAATGAATTCGATATGACGAAACTTGTAGTTGGTATACAATTGTTTCCAAATAAAAAAATTGGGTCAGAGCCATCAACATATGAAGAGGTAAGTTTATTTAACATTATATTTTGAAAATATGCAAATTGTTCACGATTAAAACTATTTTCATATTTTAAGTTTAAACACTAAATGTGAAAATAATAGAATATAATATAAATAAAAATAAAATAAAATTTATAAAATTTAATATAATAAATATATACAAAATATTTTATAAACTACCAGAAATCAAGAAGTCATGGTCGGAGACTAAAATATGATTTTGAAGGTGTTTTTCTATATTCCTCGCCTTATAATAATAATATTATAATGAAATAATTGCATCATTAATTCAAAGGTGGGCAAGTTAAAGACAATAATTAACTGTGGCAAGTTAAGTTAATTCAATTAAATTGGCTTCAGTTAAGTTAAAAGTTAACAAAAAAAAACTTAGTTAAATCATAAACTGCCCTTTATTTTCATTTACACAAACATTTATCAAGAGGTTTTACACTGAAAAAATTTGATTATTACGACAATGAAAGGAAATTAACTATTATAAGTTAAGTTACAGCAATAAACATTTTAACTAAATAAGTATTGATAAGTTAAAAACAAAGATAATTAACTAGTTAAGTTTAAAAGTTTAAAATATTAACTTTTTAACAAGTTAATGTCTATCTTTGCATATATTTTAGGTGTAAATATTTAACATAAAAATAATAATAATAACATGTGTGTGTTTGTGTGTTTAGTTTTGTTCAGACCCAAAAGATAAATGGGACGAGTGGTGTGCTGCAAGACCTAAAGACTTTCAGGCAAAGGTAGGTATACCTAATTTTTATAATGATTGTTTTGTTTTATAAACTGATTAAGTAAGTAGGTAAATATATTTAATATAATTAATTATTTAGGATTTTTAATATTTTTCAAATATCATTGTCATATTATCTAAGGACACATACTAGTTGCGGACGAATTATTCAGGTTAGGAATTATAATATAACAATTGCGGACACGAGATTCGTTGTCATAATACTAATTGCGTACAGAGCTTTTTTTAATAAAAACTACTTTAGTTGTGGACACAAATATTTCCCTTCACCACTTTTTCAGAACTTATGACAATAGCTAAAAAAAAAATTGGTAGGTGGGGTTAAAAATATTTGTGTCTTGCAAAAGAGCAATCGTTATTTTTAAAATGTTGTTGAATTATAGATTGTTTTAATTTTGTGGAAAAAATTGTTTATAAAATATTTATAGATTATCGTCATTATTAATTATCGTCATAGTTTTTAAAACAGCCTGTATATATGATATTCTACTGATTTCACCACGTGAATATTGTAACATTATCCGCAATTAGTATCTTATATTTGTGTCCGCAATTCGTATGTTACCTTTTTAGATTTCGTCCGCAACTCACATGGTTTTTGTCACTTTGTCCGCAATTCGGAAACACCGTTATCTAAGAAGTCATGTAATAAATATTCAAGATGTTTAACCCAACAAATACAATTTTATTCACATTTATAAAGAAAAAAAGCGCGTAAGTGATTGTCGCTCTACTGTACAGTAAGTGGGTCAATGTATAATGGATTGTATTAAACTTGAATTCAATGTCCGTAAACAGTTCAAAATAAATCAAAATTTTTTGAAAATGTTATTGGGAATAGAAAATGCTAATATTATAAGCAACCAGTGAAAATTGCATATATCTACGGTCATTTTTTCAGATTAACGCCAAAAACCAAAATCGATTTTGTGTAAAAATTCCCGGTTTTGCTTAATTTTTTTTTTTGTTTTATTCAACGCTTTTGAAAATTACTGCACCAACAATATTCACTTTCCCATCGAACAAGATACTGAAGTTGAATATCGAAGCTTTATTTCGACATCTTATCGTGTGACGTGTACACAGACACAAAAAATAATAAAAAATATTATTAGTAAGTGTAGGGTGAATGGATGTCGCTCTGCTGTACAGTAGGTTACAAGTGGGTCACTGTATAATGGATGGTATTAAATTTGAATTCAATGATATAATATCATTTTATAAGAAAAACGATTCTGAGAGGAGACGGTATGTCAGTCTAGGTATAAGACTTAAGATGTATATTATATACTTATCTATGGTATTAAAAAAAAATTGACCTATTATAAATTCCAAATTAATCATATCACAATATCCATTAGGTACTTATAACGCGTTATATATCAACAACAAACCCTGAAACTATCATAGACATATAATAGTGTACTTTAGAAGTTTCAAGTAGTAAGTACCCACTAATAATATTATACAATCACAACAAAATAACTAAAATAGTTATTCTAGATTTTTTATTATATAATTTCATCCAAATTTGAACTTAAAATTACCATAAAAATAAACTATACTAAATACTTCTGTATTTTTTTTAGATTTTTTGGTAACAGAATTAACTACTTACATGGAATCTTGTTTTACATTTTCATACCTTAGATATAAAAGTTGAACATTTTATACATTTTTAACTACAAAATAATTATTCAATTTTAAATTTGATAAATTTTGTCAAAATTTGATCTTTAAATGCTTATAAAAAAAAATTGTGCCTATGTATTTTTAATATAATTCAACTGCTATTACAACAATATATCAGGAGCCTTGTATTACATTTTTACACTTTTTGGCCCAACAGATAAAACTTAGTAGAAAAAAAAACTAATAAAATTGGAAACTGAAAATGTCCCTAAACAGTTCGAAACAAATCAAAATATTTTGAAAATTTTATCATGTATAGAAAATGGAAATATATAAACAACCAGTAATACCAACAGTATTCACTTTCTCATCGAACAAGATACTGAAGTTAAAAATCGAAGCATTATTTCGACTACTTATCGTGTACACAGACACAAAAAAAAACACATCATTGTAAAACCAATATATTCATAGCTCCTCTCTGAATCTAAAAGATATTCATGTCAATGCTTTGAATATATTTTTTAACAATTTATTTTCTACGTTGTTTACTGTTTTTATAGGGTAGATTTTTGAGGAGCACTCAAATTGGAGGCCTCCAACTGTATTACATGCATTCTGACGATTACAGGTCCACATGTGGATGTTATTCGTTCCCATTGATCAGGGCACTTCTTCGGGGCTTGATTAAAGTTGATACGCCAGAAACGTGTGATTTTGAAACGGCACACAACTAAACACCAGTAATTTTATCAACTATCAAGAGCCATTATAATATTTAAATATTATGTTTCCCTTGTTAATCATAAACACATAACTCATAAATAATATAAATTATTATTGGGCGCTTTTAATATTAACATTTTATATCTATTATATTGCTATTATTATTATATCAATATTTTGTATGGGTACATTGTGGTATATTAAGAGCGTATTCGTTCGACACATATTTTGTTAATTTTAATTAGCTAAACGTGTATAACGTGTATTGTTGTCATTAAATAATATTACAGATGTATAATTTTTATTCTAACGTGCATACTGTACTTCAATAATACAAACGTGTTTTATTGATTACATTTCTTTTCTTTTTATTCTTGAAAGGTTAATCGGATTAATTAAAATGTACATACATATACGATATACAGATCATACTCCAAGTAGTAGCCAGTAGGTATAAGACTATAAACTGTATTTATTACTATTTAGCTCCTAGTAACCGTGTTACTGTGTTTTAGTGCAATAATTTTACTGTGACCTCGGGTATTCATAATAATAATAATAATAAGTACCTACGCCTCGCCGTGGTTTTAATAATAAACGAACGTTTAAATTGTATAAGTACATTTTATTATTTGAGGACGTTTGTAACAGATAAATAGATTCCATACAGTGATTTTCTATTTTTGTCTAACACAAGCTCGACGTAGGATTTTAGACAGATTCTTTGTCAAACATACCAATTGTTCTAATGAGGCGATACGAATATTCTAAAAACAGATTTGAATTTGTAGTCAAGTCTACTTGAAATCGACATTCCTACATTTTTTATATTATTCCCCCAAATTCCTAAAAAAGTCATATTAAAAAAGAGTATTTAAAAATTGTCGTATTTTAATTTTTGGAGAAGTTAAAATCAAAAAATCAAAAAATCAAAAATCGTGGTTTCAAATCCTCTTAACGGCTTAACAACTAGTAACATCATACTGTGTACTGACGTCTGACAGTACCTTGTGGCTTGTAGTACCTAGGCTAAAAACAATACCCTCGAAGAATTAGGTGGGTATAGCCTGTATAGGTTACACTATTAATTATCAGTGGCGTAATTAGAAATTTGCTTTAGGAGAGGGGGGAAAGTATTATCCATTTTCTCGCAAAAAAATTTTTTTTACTAAAATTATGTCCATTTTCCTCCAAACATTAAAATATTTAGCCGATATTCTTATAAAGAAAAACCAAGTATAATATTCATGTGGCTCGATATTGTGAAACAAACTTAAACAGACATTTTTTAAAATTATATGAAGTATTAATATTCCGAAAAAATCTAGACTACCTAGCAAACAAATGGAGTGTAGCAATCAAGGATAATGCAAATTATTCAATTTCAAAACGAAAAAAATCCTAAGTAATATAAAAATTACCTAAAATCATTTATTCATGTGTCTAGTATTTATTTTCTTTAAACGGGTAACCGCTCGTGGTAATAATTTAAGTTTTTATTTTTCGTGGTATTAATTTGTTGCCAAAAATTCGTAAGATTATAAAAACAAAAAAGGTGATCAAGCTGTGGCAGGGGAGGCTAAAGACGCGGGCTAGGGCCGCCCCCCAGCCACCAAGCTGTATTCCTAAACAATTGTATACAGATTATGTACTACTGTATGTAACTACTACTGTGTACTGTTAAAAATAAAATTACAAAAAAAAATCATCGACATTTTCAGAAAATTATGCTTCCCCTCCCCCTTAACCATTTCTCTGGAACCCCTGGCCGTTTTATACCACTCTGATGTACAGTAGGTAGTTGTCGAGCATGTAATGGAAATGGATGTATTATTATAATTGAACTCAATGATAAATCATTGCATAAGAAAAACGATTCTGAACTGAGACGGTTTGTCAGTTCAGGATATTTTATATTATACATATTTAGTAAAAATATTATTTACATTTATACTGTTGTTACTTATTAGTTATTACTTATTACTCATTATTAATATGAAAGGCATTAACGAGTTAATAAGTTAAAGTTCATTTAATTTTAACTTTTTAACTTAACTAATAACTATTAATTTTTGGGCAACAATCTAGCTGTGTTCTACCGCAGTGGCATCATTTCAGTTTTTGAGAGTGGAGGGTGAACATTTTTGACCGGCCCAAAATGAAACTGAAAAAAAACCGCTCGCTAACAATTACATTTTACTTTTTTTTTTAATTTTTTTTTTATTCTTCGAGAAGATAATGGGCCCCACTGAACATGTTCATGTGGTGGCCCAATAATTACAATTACATTTTAATTACATATTACAGTTGCATTTTTATCTCAATACAAATAGGCAATAGCCTTCTTACATAATTGTATACTTAGTAGTTAGTATCAAAGGCTACTATCACAAACATAAGGAATCCATTTTTATGTTGAGAGATAACAATAACTAAAAGAAGTGAGTGCTGTCTAGTGTCATGGGACATCCGGTAGAAACGAAGTTTCTTTTCCAACAAATATTATAGACTACAGCGACGTGTCGAAGGTATTATTTTGGAGCAATTGCTCCTTAAAAATTGTTGGTTGGTGGGTGTGCTTCCTGCCACAAAATACCTAGCCGCCTAGGTGACTAGGTATATAGTAGAAATATCATATCCGACAATACAAATCGTTACAAATGTAGGAAAATTTTGTAAACATTTTTAATTTAAACTTTTTTGCTATGTCGGAAATGCCGTTACAAACATCGAGGGGGGTGGGTGGAACTGTGGAAGGGTGGGTACCTTGTATACATTTTTGCTCCTCACCAAAAAGGAGTTCAACACGCCACAGTAAGAGTTGGTACCTATACCAATAATAGTCGTAATAATGGCATTTGGAAAAATTAACGGGCCCGAAATCCAGCTGATGCCAGTCGATTAATATAATAATGCGCTGGCTACTAATAAACGATGTTTATTTAAAATCATCGTCGACGGCCCAGGAATAAATACCGAAATCGGCACATTTGCAACTCATCTGAGTATATAATCTGACCTAACCTTACGCGGACAAAAAAAAAAACCTGAACGAAAAAAAATGGCTGCATCGCATATCGAAGAAAAGGAAATGGAAACAACCATCATGCAAATCTTGGGAAAAATTATAAGCAATGTCGAGTACGAGATTATGGAAGAAGAACTTAAACGAATCGACGACATCGACCAGGAACCTACCATCGGAGACCTGGAAGGACTTTTATCGTATGCGACGCGCTTCGCGGGGAACGACTACGTCCCGTCCTGCAACGTCTTTCAACCGGTCGACAAATCTGACAAAACGGCAGAACCGGTTGAACCGATCGTTGACGACGTCGCGGTGGTCACGCCTCCGGTGCAGGAAGCCGCGAAAAAGGAGCTGGGTGGCGAGGCGGTGGGCGCCACACCGGCCAGAGGACTGGAAGTCAGAAACAGTATCGGGATCTTGATTGGTTGGCTGGACCCGGGGGTCAAGGCAGAAACACGCGCAGCTCCGCGCAGTGCAACGGCGAGATTGGTGTCCTCTGCGTGGAGAGGCCTGACGAGAGCCGCACGCGTGTTGCACTGTTGTTGTCCCCCGAAGTGAAACCGTCCAAAAGTTTCCCCCCTGGCCGAGGGCAGCGGACAAGGAGAGGCGACGTGTGGGGTTTCGAGGTAATAGGTACGCGGCAGTGCACATTCAGGTGGTGACCGGCGGTAAGTCGCCGATACACGTTCTCCGGCCATCCTGCGGTAGCGCGACGGGATCGCGGACGTTGCGAGCTCGAGGTCGCCGAGACACGCGAGACCCTCTGGCGGCGCGGCGGGCGCCCGGCTGCTTCGGTCCGGGAGCGACGACGACACGACGACGGAGGTTAGCGGTACCGGCGCGGACAACGACGCCGTCCCCGACGGTACCTGCTCAGTGACGAACGCTGCAGTGCTGCGCGACTCGCGTGACGGCGGCGACGGAGACCTCAGAGCTCACGGCGGGTGAGTGACGGATAACTATGATTACAGGGTAGCTAGGAACGCCACGGACGTCAGCAGCGCCGGGCTCGAGGAAACGAAACGTTTCGTCGGGTTCGACGGTGCGCGGCTCCGTGGCCATCGGCTGCGGCAGACGGAGACGCCAGGGCGAAAATCACGGAGACTATCAGGACAGCGGCGCGTCGTCGCGAAGCTGTCTGCAGATTTTCTCCCTTTTTCGCCCAGTGGTCCGATCCCGAGTCGCAACGCCGCCGATTCCGCAGCTGCACCGAGATCGTAGTCGCCAGCTCGCCTCTCCGAGCTTTGCAGGTCACCGTCGTTGCCGGCACAAGCAGTCGTCTTCAGCACCCGCAGTACCGTCAAGCAGCGCACGACATCGCGCACTAGCCTCTCGTCGCCAACCGTCGTCGCTCTCGCAGCCGTCGTGGCCGGGCTTCGTCCGCTGCCATGGTCGTATTAGCGGTCTCGAGCAAACTCGCCCGCGACTCTCGTCCGCCCCGCAGGACAGCCCGTGAGAACGTTGTAGAGGTGACCAGTGGCCATATACCAGTTACCAATACATCATCAGCACCACCAACTCGCCATCACGTACCCCCCCACACATAGCGTCGTCTTGTCCGATGCCTTTTTTTTTTTGTATTTAAATTTTCTTTACTTATATCGAATAATATTCACTTTACAAATTTCGGCTTTTTCTTTTTTGTTCTAACTTTTTTTGAACATACAAAATTGTACAATAATATAACGGCAACCGTTTATTGTTTCCGTTTTTGAAATTATATTCAAAATTAAAAAATGTTATATTGTTTTTGTTCGATAATTAAAATAAAATTTGTGAACACAAAAAACTATTGTTGCTTTTTTCGTATTGTCGAGTGTGTAAGTCAATTCTTACAATATAATAAAATATTGACTTGAGTTGTAATAATATTCTAATCTGAACAAATCTTGTAGCAGGTATCTATTACTGTACCTACTTGGAAATCACTTTTCGGCGGTATGAGTGTTTTGACAGTTATACAAAAATATAATTATAGGCATA